AAAGCTCTCGGACAGGTAACAGTGAACTAAATTCATATGTAGGCTATTTTTATGTTTGTAATAAAACAAATAACAGTCGAGTAGAGTTGTTTATGTTATTAAGTTACTGTTAAACTGTAATTAGCACGCGACTTGATCACATATTCATCTAGATTGTTTTGATTGACGTCATTGGTTTGTTTGAAGTTATTTTTATACAACACTATAAGTGCTTTTATGGTTTTATAATAGTTTTATGTTACTGGTCAGAGGTCATAATACTCACACTTAAATTATCGGATTAAATTTATTGGAATTGAAAGATGCGTTTTGCATTGAGTTCACTAAATTTAAATCCGGCACCTCGCAGTTAAATTGTGCTGTTTATTAAAAACTTTCTTTAACTCCATCAACATAATAATATGTTAAAATTAACACCAAATTGTTTGTTTGTACGATGTAACCTTAGAAAATAAAGGACTGATTAGTTTTTATTGCTACAAATAGATGTATAAATAAGTTAATTTTGCTTATGACGTCTGTTTACTAAAACTTTGAAGTTTGTATGACTTAGGCTGAGTTGCACCACCTTAACAAAAAACACCGGTTATCGTTAAAGTTTCGACCATACCCAACCGGACCAGACCAACTTTCACAAAATAAAACCTACTGCACGGATTTTGATGAAATAGAATTAAAATTACCACTTTAATAGTAATTGTCAAACCGGGCGATATCTATAAATCAGCAGTGGGGGAGGCCTATATTCAGCAGTGGCTGGAATGATGATGATGATGAATTGTCACTTAAGTATAATAATATCTTTCTGTGACAATATGACTAACTGGATTTCACGCGAGTGAACCTGCGGGCCAAAGCTAGTAGCGTAAAACTCAAAAACTAGTTACGTTCCCGCAATTCATTTCTGAGTTTACTTATTCCAAAGCTCCAAAATTCACGAATACACCCGCAGGTTTGCCCGACGGCTAATAAGAGTTGCTACTTGATCCCCACACCTCGCTTTGTTTACTGATTTACATTTATATTACTTCGAGTTTTAAGCAATACTTGCATGCCGCAAGCTCGCATGGGTTGAGTTTTCGAACTGAATAATTAAAAAATAGGCGAGATTTGGGCCCTTTCCCACGGCATCCCGTTTGTGAAAACTTGACTTCGTGTATTAGAATTCCAAAGAACGGATTATTTTTTGTGGGACACTGCAAACTGGATGTTCTTGTGAATGTTAATATTAAAACAAGTAGTACCTATACTACGTAGGTGCACAGAATCCTGCAAAACATTGTTTCTGCAAAAAACGGGATGAACAGTTTCACGAACTAAGTATTAAGTGTATTATTAAATCTCTAATGGTTAAAATCATTGCTATGATAACGAAACATCGTTGGCTAACAAAAAAGAAAAATATATTTGCGTTAATACTGAAAAAAATTTTTTAAAGAAGCTTAAGCCACTAGCTGTTTTATTTGTTTATTTATGCAAATTATTATTATTTTCTTTTGTACAACAACAACTAACTTCATTTGTTCTTTTAACAACCTCTTCTCATGACAATTGCAGATCTTAAAAAATATTAGTTAAACTCGTTTACTGCTAAAATCTACCTAAATAAAATTGGATAATAACAAATTACACAGTTTTCAGACTGTGTTGGCTTAGGACAAATAATGAATCTGAATATTCTCAGAAAGGCCGGTGTAAAATAAATTGGTCTGTTCCAAAAATAGATTAAGAAAACTTATTCGAACAGTTTTAATTTTGTATTGAAGCTTGGATAAATGAATTGGTAATTTAAATCTAATTAGATTGTACTAAAGTTGTTATTAAAAAAGTTTATCCCTGCTTCCCAACTATCTCTACTAACATTATAAATGCGAAGGTAACTCTGTCTGTCACGCTTTGACGCCAAAACCACTGAACCGGTTTTGATGAAATTTGGTATAAAGATAGTTTGAGTCCCGGTTTTTTGAGACACACAAAATGAAATATTAAAAAAACTAAGTTTTGCCTTCTCATTTCTCATAATCTTTTTGCCTTACCTATGCAGCGCTTCGAAATGAACTCATTAAGGATGTATTAATTAAACCAACAATGTAGAAAAACAGAATCATCTTACACTAACCTGATTGCTACTCGACCCTTCGTTACCGCACCTCGAGACTCCACTGCTTACATTTCACGCCCTGAAAAAAGATACTAATTAAGGCAAGGGACAAGGTATTCCGCAGTCTATCATTCAGGAACCTTGTTTAAGCCGTAGGGTTCTCCCAACGGGCCTTGCGTCTGGTCCTCACATCAACCAAAATAGCAAGACCCACGCAATATGCGTGGATCTCTTTATACAGGGTGTCTGAAAAAGAGCGTGACAAAGTTAAAGAGATGATAGACTAATGGATGACCCTCTATAAAAAAAAGTATCATCATTTTATAGATACGATGTTTAACATGTTTTTAACTCCAATTTTGAGCCTATCTCTTGTTTTTCTGTGTACAAATGAGGAAAAATTATTCAAGACAAGTAAGGCGAAGAATAAGAAAAATATCCGCTCAATTTTGAGCCTATTTTTTGTTGCTGTAACAAAAAATAGGCTCAAAATTGAGGATTAAAAAACATGAAAATATCGTATCTGAAATGGTTATTACTTATTTGTTTACAGATGGTTATCCATTAGTCTATCATCTCCTCAAGTTTGATACGCTCTTTTTCAGACACCCTGTATATGAGAGGGGTGGGGAAGGTCAACATGTACTGGACGGGTAAAGAACCCGATAGTTCTTATAAGCCGCAGCGGCTGGCGATCCCCTCCTTTGGGGTTCGGCCGTTATCAACGTATCAAAAATACATAATTATTTCCAAACTACAACTATTTATTATACTCGTAATTAAGGTAAAGATGGTCCAATAGTTCGTAAACGTAAACGTTCGAATTTGCTATGCTAGTTTCAGTCACCCTGTATATCTCAGATTGAAGGCTATGAGAGGGGTGGGGAAGGTCAATACATATTGGACGGGTAAAGAATCCGCTAGTTCTTATAAGCCGCAGCGGCTGGCGATCCCCTCCTTTGGAGTTCGGCCGACGTCAACATAAACAATATGGTGTTATTGCTTGTATCTTATCTCGGGAAAAAATATTGGACATCGGTTCTGAGCGTGCGTTTTGTATTAGATGTTACGGCCCGTGAAGTTTAATTGTGGTGTCTTATGCTATTGTTATAAGGACTGTTTTTCAATAAAAATGTAAAGCCTGATGTGCTGTAAACAGTAGAGGATGTGCCGCTTGACCCGCGGTCGATACATGGCAACAGAAGTGGTCGGTGTTCGTAAAACGTCGGATAAATCTATAAAAGCAAAAGGTCACTGATTGACTGACTCACTCATCACAAAATCTCAGAAGCTACAAATGCTAGGAGTCTCAAATTTTGCATGGGGGTTCCTTTAGAACGCAGGTTTTCACTAAGACGAGATTTTTCAAAATTCACCTCCTAAAACAGGGTCCACGCGTACGAAGACGCGGGCGGCCGCTAGTTACATATAAATTGCAAGCAAACAGTAATAATATCAACAGCTCCTTTAAATATTAAACTTGATAGAACTGGCTTTAATAATAAAAACACGAGTAGTGTTCTTTGTAATTTCTATGCAGATAATTTGTATTTGACTGCAGAGGGAATAATAATGTGATACAAATACTGAGTTCCTATCATACTGATTAAAAAAAAGTTTAGTCTAAAACATTCGCTCTGTGCGATCAAATAAATAGTGCAAAGATTTGTAAGAAAAAACATAAAATACTCAATAATAACGAAGTTAAATTAAAATCTTGTAAGCGTATTAATATTATCAAATATTTTTAAGCACAGGTCTAAAATCAATAAGGCTGAGTTGCACCATCTAACTTTAACTTTGACAAACGTCAAACATCTGTCAAACTTCACACAAAAAAACCCCAGTTATCGTCAAAGTTAGGTGGTGAAACTCAGCCTAAGCAGTTTAATTTAGCTACGGATCAAAAAACTGCGCCTAAAATTATTAACTTTTTTTGGTTTATTTAAACTAACTACTAATAACGTGTTGCTTCTAATTTTCAATTAAAATATTTGTAACTAATACAAGCTTAAAACAACTTTTTAACTTGAAACAGTTATTAAACTTCCCAAAGTCTGTTCACGTTTGAAATAACGAGTTTGGCAAGCAAAAGCGCTACGAAAAACATAGCCACTTCACTTCGAAGTAGTAGCGCTACGACGTAGCCGCTCGTCTACGAGGATCGTAGCTACGGCTGTCTACGAATGCCTCTACGTGCGGAACTTCAGTCGAAGTTCAGATGCGCTTAGAAAGCTTTGCATTTCTTTTAAAAGATACAAGAAAGTTGTCTGTGGCTTCGTTTTGTGTTCGTGATGGTCTTTTAAAAGTTACTGAATGAGAGTACTGCTACTGGTATCTTAAGTCCATCTTTTTGATTGATACTAAAAATTGTTCTTAAAAATGAATTTGGCTGAAATTGGAAGACTATGTACCTAGGTTTGACTACTAGTCAACTACGTATCTGAAACTGGCCCCCATTTTTGATTTGTAAGTATATTCAACCTTTTTTTATTTTATCATTTTCAATTGTAAAACTTTTTTTGGGCTAAAACGATGAAATTTTTTGCGAAAGAAGGATTCTACTAAACTTAAAATGTTGCCTCTCTTGGAACTTAACTTAAATAAAATACCCAAACAATCTATAAAAGTGTAAATCCAAGTGATAACTAGCGGCCATTAATAAAACATCAACCCAAGACGTTGCAGTTGACGCGTGAAAATACGTAGACCGTAACAGGAAATTTATTCCCGGAGAACGAGGGGCCCACTTTGCGTGTGTACTGTATAATAAGAGCGAATAAATGACAATTTGAAATTCAAAAGTAGGTGTATAAGTTAAGCGCTTCGTGACTTGCGCATTTCATACCATTCCTTACTCTCTAGTGTTGACGTTGACGCGAATCAGTATTCTGTTGGCCGTCGCCGGGGGAGGTTGCGTCGCTTCGTACCAGCCCCAACGTGTTTCGCGCGACCGATCGCTTATATAACAGTGTTTGTTTTGTGACTATTCGATTGCCGAGAAAGGATTTATTGCGGAATCCAAGGTACTGTATTTTTTTATTCTTTTTTCAAACTTTTTTTACTGGCCAAAAATAATTTTGAATTTTTTTTTTACTCTAAAACAGGTCTAAGTAGTTTGCGTATGTGTGTGTTAAGTAGACAGCTTATGGTCCTTAATAATGCAGGCCTCCCGAGGGATTTCTTAGTGGTCCCGACTTTCCATACGCGTTAATACTCCCAGGGAAATTAACAGGATTACACACAACTAACCCTCAGGGAGTTTTTGGCAGTAACTTGAGTTACTTACGTTTTAACTTGTACAAAAGAGAAGTTTAGGTAATGTTCTTGGTAATATATATAATTTTTTCGGTTTAAGTAAATTGGATTCACGTAATACTTGCGGGTTTTTAAGAGGACTTTTTTAGAAGTTATTCGTAATTGGATTGATATTTTTGGTTAACTACAATAATAGCACAAAGTTTTCTTATCTCGTTTTGATGATCACTAATAATAAGACTGAATTTACGGGATGCAACAATTTTTTTCAGTATGCTATAGTAGTTCAACTACTTTAATAAGTCACATAAAGTTACTTAGAAAAGCAATGCGTTTTACCAACGGAATTGACAAAAAAATTAAGCAAGTTACCGATCCTCTGCAGTGCTTGTTTGAAAATACTCTTGTCTTTAATTATTCTGGAGTAAAGACTGTAGTTTTTTTTATGATAGTTTACAAGACCTTATTATCATGTGAGGTATTGTATTATAATATTAATTACCGTATAAATTCAAAGAATTTTGTTAGCATCACACAACATTTTCGTCCCAATAAAATAGTAGCAAAATTCGAACCTGCTACCGTAGCTGACATTGTAATTTGGTACTTCAACCGCCAGGCCATATAAACCTAGAGTGTTTTGGTTTAAGGAAAACGGATTTGTGTATTATTTGCGGCTTGTGTCATTTATTGTTATTGAATCACTATATCTTATTCCTCTTTCTGGAAAAATGTGTTCTTTCTAAACAAGCTAAAATAACACTAGTTTACAAGGTTTTTTACCCAGAGATGAAACTGATATGTATCGGTAGAGCTATTAATCCTTACTTAAAAACTGAACTTAGAAAAAATTTAGGACGTCAAATTTTGTAAATATTGATTATATTAATTTTTATCATTTTTAAACATTTATCTCTAAAAACAATAAAAAATGAGTCGCGTTGCTCCTTCTTTTATACTGATTAGTATCAGTTTCCCTTATTATAGACCAACAGCAATCCGCTAACATATTTTTATCCCAAATTCCTTGGTATCTTTCCTCAAAAACCTTCAAATCCTGGTGAAAACTTTCGCCATGCTCAACACTCACGTTTCCTAGGTTCTCAGAAAAAAAATCCAGGTGAGAATGTAAAAAATGAATTGTTAACGACTTATTCATACACATTCTTAGGTAATTCCTCAATAATTTGGAAACAATTTCTACATAATTCTCAGATAAATTTATAGTTTCCCAGGAAACTTTTCACTACTGCTTTAAATTAATACCAAGCATTTTTCCTAATTGCTGGAATTCGAATTGCTGGGTAATGACGGATAAAGAACTCCTTGAGATTCTAGCACAGGTTTTGTGACTGATGCAACATCATGATATTGTATGTTCTTGGTTTTTGTTGTTAAAACCTGTAGTTTCAGTGAGGCAGAAGTAACAGTCATTAGAGTGATTTGTTGGTTCTCTCTATAACATTGGGGTGCCGAATTTTTCATTTTCCTGCAGCCTAATGCAATAGTATACTTCTCAAATTTTCGCACACTACACCAGGAACCCATTTTTTATCAGGTTTGTTACCGAGATTTGAAAGTAATAGAAATAGGCCCTTTTACGGCCTCAGTAATTAGTCTCTTCTTTTTTAACAATATAATTTGACCACAAACTTAGCAAAAGTTATTTGGGCTTAATTTACACTGCCTTGGTGACATTTTAAAACAAGTGAAAATGTTAAAATAATACTTAAACGCAATTAAAATGAAGTAGAAACTCCGACGCGGCTAACAAAACAGCTTACTTAGGTTAACGTGGATATCTCAAAAACTTGACGTGATAAAAATATGAGACATATATTTTTGTAATAAGGGGGCTGGTAGAAAACACATCCAATATGAATTATCTTTGGGTAAAAGAAAAAAAAATTTTTTGTAAACTAGTGTAATAAGAGCTTGGTAATTATGTTTCTAAATTTAAGTCCATTTAACTATTATGTACCTTTTTGTGACAAAACGTATATATTATAAAGAAACATTAAATTACAATATCTCAAGGTCTCAACTCTCGTTAAATTTATTTTTTCTAGTGAAAAAGTTACCTCCAAAGTATTAAATAAGACGAAAGCAATTCCACATCCCTATTCTTATCTTGTTTTACAAAAGTTTCCAAACCAATAAAAGTATTCAATAAAACTTGTATTACACTCGACAAGGGTAAATAGGTAACATGAAATAGGGAATGTGGGAAAGGGATTTCATTTATCGGCACAAAATATAAATGCCAGAGGATTTTTGCTATCTTTGTACCCTCTCTGCAAACACGTTTCGCCTGATAACCACGTACGTACGTATCTTTCCTTGGTAAGCAAGATTTTAATGGCTGACTTTGATAAGTACTTCAAAGGGGAATGGATATTTCAACATGCTAATACTGAGATATTTGTTTTAAGATGATATTTTTATTTGGTTAAATAAGATATCTATTCCCTGTAGCTTCTGGTGTAATAAAGCGCTTTCACATTAGGGCGTTAGAAACGCGACAGCAGCGCGGCAGCAGCGTTTTTATAATGTGAAGGCATGCATCCGCTGTCACATAGTATGAAATTTTCGGCAGCGCGTCTGTCGCGCGTTTGTCGTGCTGCTAAATCGCCTAAATGTTAAAACGCTCTTAGAAAGGATCGTCCTATAATGATGGAAAAATGACCTTATGATGATGATAATCCACTCCTAATATCTTGTAAATCTTTTTCAGAAATAAAATGTCTTTAACCGCAATATCTAATAAAAAAATCAATGTCATATAAGAAGCTTTTAAATTATTTATATAGGTTTGTTTTACCTATTATCCTATCATCCCTTCTCAAACATTATTTATTGTTTTGTCCTATTCAAATATTTCGGTAACCGCATCATTATTTCAACTCACTATGGTAAATTCAAGTTACAGCCAGTTAACGAAAGCAAAATAATAACCAATACGGATAAACCAATACCGCAAGTACAATATGTACTTGCGGTATTGGTTATATTAAATTGCGATTTATGTGTGGTTTAACCTTTCATCATTGCTGGCTTTTAGTTAACCGTTTATATATGTACTGTAAACAGCTTAAATAAATACGATTAAATCATTATTATTAATTTCACTCTGCGCTTAATGATGCAAAATGCAAATCACTAATAATGTTTTGGGTGAAATAAACATGAAAATATGATTGAAATGTTAATCTTCTATGCATTATTATAATTGCTATTTTGTTTTTCTTTTAACTTAACGGAGTGGTATTGTTTAATCTATTATTATCTAATATATTTTTTTTTTTCAAAATAAATCATGCATAGACTCTGCGACTTAATTTACTTTATGTTTAAGCGTAAATCGTGGACGCCTATACGCTAGTAAGTTATGTTTTCCATGTTAAAAACTCATAAAACTCATTTATTTTTGCAAATAGGCTTTTAAAAAGCACTTTTACATGTCCCAATACCCTACCACTGCTTCGGGGCAATAAATGGGTCAGTGCTGAGAAGAAACAGCGCAAGAAACTCAGTTAATCCGACACTTTAAAATAAGATAATAATCCTTAGGATGGAATGCAATATTGCCGATATAACAATAAAGCATTCATGTGTACAGGTATTTATAATAAGAAGTCATTCACATTATTACACAATGGATTCTATTCTTAATACAGTGTGAGTCACGTTAAAGTGTACATATGAAAATAGGTAAAACTAGACCTGTTTTTATCGACAAAAAAGAGGTCAAAAATTTTTTGAGATTTTTTTAAAATTTTTTATAGAATTTTTTTTCTTCCAATTACTTATTGTAAAGAAAACGTAATAACTTTTAAACTAAGCGGTATATCCTGATAAAATAAAAACAGTAATAATGCTAAATAACAGGCGATACTAAAAAAATACATAAATTACACAAAAAAGGCCAAAAAATAATAAAAAATTGAACTTTTTGAAAAAAATCTGCTTAAAAATTCGTGTTTTTTTGGTTATTTGATAAATTTCTCCAAAAAATGCCCCTATAACCGGTAGTTTTTATTACTTTGTATTGTTCTCTATCGTATTATCTTTGTAAAACCAAAAATCGCATGTCTCTATCCCTATCACAACATTTGCTATGATCGTTTGAACAAAGGCCTGCCACAACATTATTCTNGAGAAATTTATCAAATAACCAAAAAAACACGAATTTTTAAGCAGTTTTTTTTCAAAAATTATCATTTTTTATTATTTGTTGGCCTTTTTTGTGTATTTTATGTATTTTTTTAGTATTGCCTGTTATTTAGCATTATTACTGTTTTTATTTTATCAGGATATACCGCTTAGTTTAAAAGTTATTACGTTTTCTTTACAATAAGTAATTGGAAGAAAAAAAATTCTATAAAAAATTTAAAAAAAATCTCAAAAAAATTTTGACCTCTTTTTTGTCGATAAAAATAGGTCTAGTTTCATCTATTTTCATATGTACACTTTAACGTGACTCACACTGTATAGATAATCAAACAAAATGTTGATCACAAGAGCACGTTAGAGTTTTTCTGTCCTGTCAGAATCCTATTCGCACACCTCAGCTTTCTCAGCGCAATCATTTAAGGTTACCTACCCAAAATTACCATGAAATTTGCTAAACGTAAAATTTACTTTCGATGCGTACTGAATTGGAGATGAGATCAAATTGGCTAGTGAAGTGTCAGTTTGGAGAAGAAATTCGGGCGTAAAATTATGTAAAGCACAATCCAAGCAAATTGAATCACTTAGTACGAAAGTG